GTTTGATAGATGTGAGTTTGTGACTCTGGGTTTTACGCTTTGGCGATCGTCCGCTAAAGCGTGAAACCTATCTATCCAACCATATATATATATATATATATATATATATATATATATAATAACAGGGAAAGTAATATGCGTTTCACAACCTTCATTGTTTTCAGGCATAGCTGGAATTTCCGTCTCACCTCTATTCAAAAACCCTCTCATATAAAAACACCTGTGTATAATGTTCCTGAAATCGCGATGGCAAAAAGGTTACTTTTCACGCGAAATGTTTTATCTTTATATGTTCTGTATTGCATTTTCTTTGTTTAAAATTGAATTTGCTATTTTTATAAAAAAAATTTGGTAAATAATTAATTTGTCATTTTCTTTAATTGAACTATCTATATCTCAAATACATTGTCAGACATTTTTCTCCGTCTTTTTCTACTCTATCTACCTCTATTTAATACAATATTTTATTCTATCTCTATTTCTCTTTTTTTTTCACTTTCTCTTTCTTTCATTTCTTGCAAATTCCAAATTTCTGCACCCCCCTTACTTTCTGTATCACTGTCAAATTGATTCATATTTTCTTTCTGTAATGCTTCCTCTACAATCTCTTTTCCTCTTTCCCCGCCCATCCAATGCTATTTTCTCGTTTATCTTCATATGTTCCCTCGTTCTCTCATTCATAGATAAACACGTAAAAAAAATTCAAATTCATTTTTTCACTAATTAATATGTATCTTCCTCTGATACACCGTAGAATTTCAAATGAGTATTTATCAGATAATAATGATAGAAAGATAAGCAATAAAATTAAAACCCTTTTGACTCTTCAAGGACGTTTTCTATCGCTAGAAATGCTGAATATACGTCACGAATTCAGAAAAAAAAATTCCATGATTTAAATTGACTGTGGTAAACAACATTTCTTTAATCCGTTATATTTAATGTAGTTAAGTTGGTTGAAGAAGTTAATAGATTATATGTCAAGTTAAAATTATCTGCCAACCAGTGGGCTCGTTTGTGCCTCGCTATAATGTAAAACGCTACCAATGTCTCTCAATAAAACTGAATTCAGCTGTTCAAGCATTGAAGTACGACAGCGAATTTTGTTTAATACATATCGGCATAAAAGACTTGGCTTATAATACTTTTGACTACACGGTATAACCTTATTATCGTCATCTTTGTTGCTGTTATTACAGCGTTTTGCCGTCCTGCAAGGGAACTGATCGGCAGGATCTGAGGAGCATCAAACTCCCTCTTAACTGCCGTTGTTCCCAGGTCACTAGAATTCTAATTTTCTACATCCTACATGGAGAAAATTAAAACTTCTGTTGTTGTGATTTATTCAAATGGAGAAAGAAAGAAAGATTAAATGATAGGTGAAGAGACAAATATGAAAAAAATGTTCTTCTGGTCACTACTGACCAGGCGGAAAAGCAGGGTAGAAATTTCAATTATGTTTTGTTTATGACTCTTTTATTTCCTTTGACTAAATAATTCCCTTTGATTAAATAATTCCCTTTGATTAAATAATTTCCTTTGACTAAATAATTTCCTTTGACTAAATAATTCTGAATGTTTCGTGGGCAAATCATTGCCACCACAAGATCTTGTATAGGTACATAATTTTTTCCAAGTCATCTTGTATAATTAAGTCTCCTATCTATATTAGGTATTTTCGTCTGGGTCACTTGTAAACTGTAAATTTCTTTTTTAACACTTTATGTTGCGTTAAATGTCATGTTATATTCTGGATATGCATATCTGGAAGCTTATTTTGGAGAAGATGTACGAATTGTTAATCTGTCAAGATAAAATATCACGAAGTAATTTGAAATTTTTTCAGGTTAGGATTTGATATCGGTGAAGTTAAAAATAATAATAATAATAATAAACAAACACAAAGTTCTATTGAGCAATTGTTATTTAAAGCCATGGAAACGCATTCAGTAAAATTTTGGTGGAATGACTACTCATATCAGACATGGCGTGAGTTGTGTCGAATACCGTAAGACACTGCAACGTAAAAATTAAATAGTCACTTATAGCCTCTTATATTTGGTTTGGTTTGTTTTGTTTTACGACATATAAACCTCAATGAATTATTTAATGCCGACATGATTTTTATTTTTGGTAATAATGTTTTTTCAAACATCTTTTTGGGTTTAGCTATTTGCTTGGACCGTGACAGTTTCTACCACCCCAGGTCAGGGTGGGCCTGGGAACACTAGCATTTAAGAGGTGGTTCCACATTCCTCAAAACTTTCTGATCAAAGACCTTACTGTCGGGTGGAGTTTATTGTCATACCCTGGACAGCCCTCTAATCTCTGACAAGGAATGTCATATACGGCGTCTCATTTCAGAAAGGTCTAAGCTATCATCTATGTAAAACGTGTTTCTTAGATCAATGCTTAAAAAAATGGCTTCAAACCATTACATCCTCTAAATATTAATGAAAGCAATACTTCATCAGATCTTATAGACTGACACTACATAATCACGTTGAAACTCAGGTTCCCGTACGATCAGCGAAGTTAAGTGACGTCGGGACTGGTCAGTACATATTGAGATACCGCTTGGGAATACCACGTGCTGTAATCTTTCATGTGCGGATGGTGTAATGAATAATGACTCGTAATTGTTATACGCTGTGCCGAGTTCCAATTCCAATTGGATTCCTAATATCAACTTACGCCCAAATACTCTTGGGAAAGATCTGAATCCACCTTTTCTCCCCTCAGCTATGAGTTAATTAGTAACGCTTGTATCACTACAGTAGTACTATCTCAAAAATAAAAATACAATCTAAACATATTTTCTGGTTTTAAATAACCTCTAAATAACATTATTAAATAACAAAAAACACTTGAATACTGCATAAGATAAGAATGGTTAGCAGATATAAGGAGAAGAGAAAATATTGATATTATTGAGTAGTTAATTTTCCGCATAACCTAAAACGTATGGTTTGGAAGGTATGATTGGAATCACCATGATTAGAGACAGCTATAATTGTCGAAATTTCTGAAGAAAAGATGGATAATAATAAAAAAAAAATCTTATAATTTGCAAACAGCAGTAAGCAAATGAATGCCATATGTTCTTGTATGAACACTGTTATTTTTATCATTTCCATTGACTTAGGCCTACCAAAGTGATATTCTTAACAATACTCTCCGAGAATGTTGACAAATTGTATTTCTTCTTTTTTTCTTTCAAATAATTTTTACAACTCTTGTTCAATAAAATTCACATGTCTCAAAGGAAAATATATGATACTGATAACATTTACAAGTGGCATTTACCATGGGTGAAGGGTGGAAGATACGTGGTCGGACAACTTAATTCCAGGAATGACCACAGCGTGTCGCTCGGTAGTCAGATAAACTTTTGAACCGAAACATTATCCGACATGTTCCAATTTCAGCTTTCTTAAGACAAAGAACGGAGTCATCATTCATTTCAGTTTACATGTAACCAACTCTACTGCAAATTGTTGATACCCCGTAGCCAATCTAGTACCACGCTTAAATTCATCAACTATAAGAACCATAGCGAAGAGCAATATTTATTTGTAATTTTTTACAAAATGTGGCCAAAATGGGAAATGGGGAAGTGAACGGTCTTCATCTGTTAAACTTTAAACTTAGTGTTATGGGACCTTACCCATAATAACATAATGGAATATCCCATACGTAACAAATACTGCGCCTCAAGAGAAAGCAGAGAGTTCAGTCTGGAGTGAGGTCCGTCAGGAGTCTGTCAGTCAGTCAGAGCGAGAGAGTCAGTCAGTCGAGTCAGTGGCAGTCCGAAACAGAGTCGCGTTCAGACAATTACTACAAGACATTGGAATAGTGATACTGGTCGAGACTACATTGTTCTCCCTACTAAACCTGATTGTTCGTACTAACACATTCTACTTCTCTGTATATATTCCTGTTTGTAATATACCTGTGTTATTCCATATCCGTGTTCGAGTTCTTCTTTATTGGTTCTACCTTGGACCATCACCGTGGTACAAGGAACCGAACCATAACACTTAGGTAGCCACAAATGATGACCCAAACATACCACAATATTCCTAACACCAAAACAACACATTCTTACTTACCTTTCTTAAAACATCCACCATAATACCTTCATGAAAGTCCTAACTAGTCCCCATATATACAATTCCTTGTCTGTGGGGGTGACGAGGGGAATAAAACAAAAATTTACCTTAGTGAAGAGCTCATTCGAACAATTATCATGAAAATATTCATAGTAAAGTCACATGGATGTAGCTTTACGACTGGTGAAAGTAACTGAAGCCGAGAAACCAGATAAGTAAAAAAGATATTGCTGATTCTTCTTTAGATTTTATCAAGAATCTCTAAATATATAACAAAAGCACCGGATCATATGTGGCAACAATATTCTAAGCAGAGACGAATAATAATTTTATAAATGTGCAGAGAAAAATTGTCACGCACGACACAAGGAAACAACTTTCTTAGCAGCTGACCAAACAATGGATTCACTATAGTATTTCTATTTCATGTCATCCGAAAATGTTAGGCGCAACGAATCTGGAAGTTAGCATCAGCCGTACTGGTGGAAGGCAGAAGGAGGTCTCTCAAATGATGAAGAGCAGTTTCGTTTTGGAGGCGTTAAAATGAACAAGCCCAGCTCACAAAAGATTTAAAGTCGTTTATGATTTCAACCGCCAATTTGACCTCATCAAACTGATCAGATTTACTAACAAGGCAATAGTTTTCTTTAATGCTGTGCAGAAAAAGTTATATTACGGCATAAGAATTAAGGTAAAAATTGAAATCTAGTTTACCTTTGAGAAGCAGCCATACGCAATATGGAATAAAGACATACCATTAGTGTAGGCTTTTGGGAATAAAATTTCATAAATATGAATATAAAATAAATTTTGTCAAAAATGTTAAATTAACGCTGATTGAATTTTCAAATGACACGACTGAGATGATTAGATTATATTTTTAGTAATTTTTACATAGATGCTTGTTTTTTTCAATAAATGTAATTTCTAGAAGAAAGGCATAAATCTTAAATTTTCTTCATTTAAATAAGCTAAAGGTATTTCAAGTGAAAAACCAAAATTTATTTTAATATCTTCTACATGTTCATCAGTAAGAGCAAGAGCCTGAAATGTGATTTAAAGATCGAGAACACTAGAATCAAGCAGACGCCGAAGTTTAAATATCTGGAAAGCGTCTTGACAGAGGACGATAAGTGCGACGCTGAGATCCGTAGACGTATTTGGATAGCCAAGGACACATTCCAAATGCTGAGCAGAGTATTGCGAGACAGGAGGATTTCTTTGGTAACAAAGAAAAGAATACTGAGCTGTTACGTGACATCTGTTCTTCTTTACGGTAGCGAATGTTTGACGATTTCCTCAAAGAGACGACAGAGATACGGTTCTACAGAAGGATACTAAGGATATCATCGACCGAGCGCGTGAGCAACGATGAGGTCTTAGAGAGGTTGCAAACAAGGAGAGGGCTTATACTTAACATCAGAAACAGGCAGCTGAAGTTTCTGGGGCACTTAATGAGGAAGAAGTGCCTGGAGAATCTGATAATCACGGGTTGAATAGAGGGAAAGAGAGACAAGGGAAAGCATCGCGTGATATACCTGACAAACTTGAGGAGGTGGATGGCAGAACGTAGTCTGGGAGAGGAAGCAGAGGGAAGGAACTTACTGGGAGCTTAGAGGGCTAGAGAGAAGTGAAGAACTATGATCGCCTCCGGCCTGAAAAGGCATGACACATAAAAGGAAAGAAGAAGCCAACTACAGTGAATTACCACAAACGTAGACTAAAATGTGTCGCTTCAAATGGAACGTGGAGTTTTTGAAATAGGGCTCTAGTTCTGAGCTTTAGTCTCCTAGAACCTCATGCATGATTCTATTTCTTCCTAAATAATTTTAAAATGCTCTTAAGAAATAAAGTAAATTCATGCAACTTCTAGGGTCCGTAGTTCAAGTAAAGTGGTCCACTTCATGATTACGCAAACAGTTTATCGTTAGTTCGTTTCTTCTTCCGTGCTCTATAAATGTGGCCTTGGGTAAAACTTGATAATATCCAACTCGTATCATTCCTAGCATTCCGTCCTAAGTATCTATTTCTTCTGTTTTCCATGTGATTTCCCTTATGAATAAGAATGTTGTTGAATGTTTCTTGCTTTACGTTTAACTCTTAAGTAGTTCATCTTTAAAGGATAAATTTGATTACGATCGCCAGACTCAGATGTACTGCATGTGCAGCAGCAGGTGACTGACGGGGCGCAACTCTCTCTAGATGGATAAACATTCACTTTCCCAAAGATCTAGAGCTCAGTCTATCCTGATATTTAGCCGTAGCTATGGGAGTGAAAAGAGCTGGATCAATACCTTGTGCAAGGGTATTTCCACGTAGCAATGTCTGTAGATAGACAGGATCGGCTGAGATAAATTTGAACAGATTCATATATATATATATATATATTTTAAGAAATGGACAAAGTCCGACAATTTATTTATTAAATACATTTTTATGTTTAACGTTCTTTTTATAGATACACGTATTTAAGTAAATGCTCTGTTTATAATAAACAGTATTAAATAACATTTACCGGCCTGAATAGAAAATATTCGTCCTTTGACAGGATTCGAACCTGCATCCTATACGGAACCGTCATTTACGCTGACGTGCCTTGACCGCTCGGCCACAAAGGATCGTTCTGTTGGCAAGGTTGAATTTACTGCTTATAAACTTCAATCTTCCATGAATCTCGTACATTCATAACTGCTCATGGCGTATCAAATATAAACAAATGACGTCATATATTAAGAAATGGACACAGTCCGACAATTTATTTATTAAAGACATTTTTATGTTTAACGTTTGATATCACTTTCAACTTAATTTTTAGTGGATACCCATATTTGAGTCGAGGCTCCATTTATTTTAAATAGTATATTTATTTTCGTCAACCGGTTTGAATAATCACGAAATCTTATTAAAGAAAACTCATCAGCTCTCCTGCAGGACTCGAATCTGCTTCCGTTTTACAGGATAAACTGTCGTTAGATCCGATTTAGCCTTGCTTGATTGGTTACGCCCTTCGTGGCCGAGTCGGTTAAAAAAAAAATAAATAAAAACCAACGATTACATCTTTATAAATTACAATATTTTGAGTAACCATTTCCCTTTTTTATTTAAACAGCAAATTTAATATCTATCGGCCTACATTTTGAAAGTATTTAAAGAAAATGTTTCACTCGACAGGAATCGGGCACATATTTCCCCTTTTTAATCTGAAAACAAAATTCCTTTCAAATAGTGCATGATTTACACTGAAACTAAGACCAGCTCAGATAGATCGATAGAATCGGATTGTGTTCGAGATGACGGTAGAAACAGACGGATATTGTTATCGTTACAGAGAACTCGGAACGAAATGGGATCGCCACATAGAAATGAATTTATGTGATGTGTGATTTCAGGGATTTGTACCCTTCTGACTTATTTTATATCAGGACCTTTTATAACATTTCGTAATCATAAGAGTGTTACCTCATATATTTTTATCCCCAATGTCTCAA